GGAGAAACCTGATGATGAAAGATGGTCTGCGGTATTGTTGCATTACAATTTTAAGAATCTACAGTGTAGGAACACAGATATTTGTTTACACTGTTGGCCTAGACATGTACATTGCATTGGTACAGCTGAGTTTTTCACGGTAATGACATATGCTAAAACAGGTGCTGTTTGCATTATTGAAATTGTGTACAATAAGTCTGACAGGTGTCATATCAGTAGTTTAGACCAGCTGGAACTGGGTACATGTTTCTGTTCAATGGGTCCTGCTGACATATGATAATTGTTTTGTTTGCTACTCTGATGTAGTTTGGATTCATAATGATACAAGGCGAGGCCACCACAACCCTCGACCTTTAAAAATGGCGAAAACAGATATAATAGTCCCTCTATCATGATACGTTAGAGGGACTGCGGCAATAAAACTCATTATCAAGATAACATTCTCGCATACATACTCTCATCGGTGACTTAGAAACGTGAAGGCTTATTTTATACAAGGTACAATCCTATAGATGGAATCATGCGAGCCACGCAAGAAAGAATATAGATTTTAAAACTATGACATTGGATCACAGTCCCTGTGCGTGAACCCAAAATTAAACACTGGCTGTCAATCCGCTGACGAGGATTAGATCATGTTATATGAAGCTTTGTACAGACTGTTTTAGATTCAAAACACTTGAAATGGGAATATCATGTGTTAAAATTACCTCAGCATTCTTTCCCAAGCCATCGTGACAACACGTAATCTGGCTGTGATTCCCTCCATTCACAGTGGAAAACAAAACAAGATCGCGATAAAAAACAAAAGAACAATCATGGAGGGCATTGAGGGCATTAGTTCGCTTAATAAAATGATGGCTCGTGCCATCGACAATCCTAGCGAACATGGCATGTAAACTTGCTTGGTTCGTAGTTTTCAGCGGCAGTGAAGCGAATGCCATCATTTTTGGCGAAGCCCTGCTGAAGAAAGTGTAAGGAAAACTGTATACTGGTGTTTCCCATTTTCCACTACACTTTCCGCATTTTTGCTGTAAAGTCATTGAAAAAAACATCGTCGGTACTTTTTTGAAGTGATTTTCAATGGACGTCCCGAAAAAGGGATAGATTATGTGTGAAGGAACACAATCTAATGCAATTTCAGAAGAAAGCGATGACCTATTCAAATGTTTCAATATTAGTTGGTGTGTATGGTTAGTGTAATCACAGATAGAGGGACTGTGCTATAATGGGGCTTATTGTAATCGAAGAAACGTAACGAAACGAAACGAAACGGGATAACACACACAATATAACATATTTACAACATATTTGCCGAAAATAACAATATTTTATTTAGTAAATGATTCTTTTCGCTAATTACAGATAATCAGAAATCTGTAATCAGCGAAATAAGGGTCTTACACGTACAATATTCACAATTGTCGGACGAAACTTGAACAGTATATTTACCTTTCAGACGTGAATATAACTAAATAAAACATTTGCCGAAAATAACAGGATTTTAATTAGTGAATGCTTCGTTTCGCTAATTACTGATAACCGATAATCTGTAATCAGCGAAACAAGTGTCTTACACAATATTTACAACTGTAGGACGAAACGTTACCAGTATATTCACCTTTCATTATCTGTAATTAACGAAACGAGCCGTATACATATTAACTGTTATTTTCGGCAAATATTTTGTAAATATTGTGCGTATAAAATCTATTTTCAATGATTGACACTGATTTATATTATGTGTTATCCCGTTTAGTTTCGTTTCTTTGAGTACAATAAGCAGTATAATGGTAGACTGAACAGTAGAGCAGTGTTAAAGTTCCTGTTGGTGATATGGCACCGGATACAAGACATTTGGTCTTTATTA